AATTGGAACCGTTATCCATTGCTGGTGGGAAAGCAAAATGGTGCAGCTGTTGTGGAAAACAGTGTGGCAGTTCCTCAAAAAACTAAAAATAGAACTACCATAAAAAAAACCAAACTTGTCGATTCTGACTCATAGCGACCCTACAGGACAGAGTTAAACTGCCCTATAGAGTTTCCAAGGAGCCCTGGTGGATTCAAACTGCCAACATTTTGGTTAGCAGTTGTAGCTCTTACCCACTACGCCACCAGGGTTTCCAGAACTACCACATGACCCAACAATTCCACTCCTAGGTAGAGATCCAAAAGACTTGAAAGCAGCGACTCAAACAGACATTTGTACACCAATGTTCATGACAGCACTATTCACAATAGCTAAAAGGTGGAAACAACCTAAATGTCCATAAACAAAATGTGATACATACATATAATGGAATACTACTCAGCCAGTAGAAAAAGTCTTGATATATGCTACAATATGGATGGAGCTGGAAGGCATTATGCTAAGTAAAATAAATCAGTCACAAAAGGACAAGGAAAGACAAATAAAAATATATAAGAAAAAAGGTTTATAAGAACGCGGCATCAGCATTAGAGGAAAACTCATTAACAACCTGTGATATGCAGATGACACAACCTTCCTTGCTGAAAGTGAAGAGGATCTGAAGCACTTACTGATGAAGATCAAAGACTACAGCTTTCAGTATGGATTACACCTCAACATAAAGAAAACAAAAATCCTCACAACTGGACCAATAAGCAACATCATGACAAATGGAGAAAATATTGACACTGTCAAGGATTTCATTTTACTTGGATCCACAATCAACGCCCATGGAAGCAGCAGTCAAAAGATCAAACAACATATTGCATTGGGCATATCTGGTGCAAAAGACCTCTTTAAAGTGTTAAAAAGCTGCAAGTGGCCATCTAAGATGCATCAATTCGTCTCGTCCCAACCACTTGGAGTAAAGGAGAACGAAGAACACCAAAGACACAAGGAAAGTACTAGCCCAAGAGACAGAATGGGCCACATAAACCAGGACTTCATCAGCCTGAGACCAGAAGAACTAGATGGTGCCTGGCTACCACCAATGAACGTCCTGACAGGGAACACAACAGAGAGTCCCTGATGGAGCAGTAGAAGGACAGGGTACAGAACTCAAATTCTAGTAAGAAGACCAGACTTAATGGTATGACTGAAACTGGAGGTGGCCTGGAAAGCATGGCCCCTGGACTCTCTATCACCCCAGAACTAAAACAATTTCCGAGGCCAACTCTTCAGACAGGGATTGGACTGGACTGGGGGACATAAAGTGATACTCGTGAAAAGTGTGCCTCTTAGTCAAGTAGATACAAGAGACCAAAGGGGCAACTTCTGTCCAGAGGTGAGATGGGAAGGCAGAGAGGGCTAGGAGCTGGTTAAATGGTCATGGGGAATCAGGGGCCGAAAGGAGGAGTGTGCTGTCGCAGAATGGGGTGAGCAATTAGGGTCTCATATCAATGTATGTATAAAAATTTTGTATGGGAGACTAACTTGAAATGTAAACTTCATTTAATTACAAGAATTAAAAAAAGAAAATAAAGTGTTAAAAAGCAAAGATGTCACTTTGAGGACTAACGTGTGCGTGACCCAAGCCATGGTATTTTCAATTGCCTCATATGCATGCGAAAGCTGGACAATGAATAAGGAAGACCAAAGAAGAATTGATGCATTTGAATTACGGTGTTGGCCAAAAATATTGAATATACCATGGACTGCCAGAAGAACAAACAAACCTGTCTTGGAAGAAGTACGCTGGAATGCTCCTTAGAAGTGAGGATGGTGGGACTTGGTCTTAGGTACTTTGGACATGTTATCAGGAGGGACCAGTCCCTGGAGAAGGACATCATGCTTGGTAAATACAGAGTCAACGAAAAAGGGGAGGATCCTCAAAGAGATGAATTGACAAGGTGGCTGCAACAATGGGCTCAAATCTAGAAACTATTGTGAGGATGGTGCAGGACCCAGCAGTGGTTCACTCTGTTGTACATAGGGTCGCTATGAGTCAGAGGTTTAGAGTAATGGTTTTATGAGACATCCCAGTTAATCGGGCTCCAGACTTTTTGGATCCATGGTGGCTGGATGAGCCCCTGAAACTATTGCTCTGAGATAGTCTTAAACTTTAAACAAAAAATATCCCCTGAAGTCTTCTTAAAACCTAACAACAACAACAATAGAGACCAAAGTTTATTAGTGTTTACCAGGAGTGGGGGTGGGGAGAGGGGAGGTTAACGTTGATGAAAAATAATATTGATTAAAGGCAGGGTTGCACAGCCAATTATTCGATTATTTTAAGTGCTGTCAATAAGGTGTACATCTGCAAGATGTTGAATTTTCAAAAGTTGTGTGATAGACATACTTCTAACAATGGAAAAAAAGAGTAGCTGCTGAGGCTGCTTATGTACAACCAAACACTTCATGGGATTTGTTTCCTTGGTTTGGAGATTTACAGTCATGGTTTCATGGGACATCGCAGTTAATTGGGCTCCAGACTTTCTGGATCCATGGTGGCTGGAATGAATCCCTGAAACTATTGCCCAAAGATAATCTTTAAACATTAAACTAAAAAATATTCTTTGATGTCTTCTTAAAACCAAACTATAGTTTAGCTTACCTAGTAAAAGAAGGTCTGCTTTGAATGTTATGCTGTTTCAAGAACTATCTATCTATATGAGATCAAATTGACAACTGCAACTGGAAAGATTAAAAAGGAGCCTAGGGGACAATGAGTTTATGTTAATGGGGGAGGAACAACTCAGAAAAGGAGGGTGAGAATGGTTCACAACTTGAAGAAAGTAATCAACCTCACTGAATTGTACATGTAGAAACTGTTGAATTGGTGTATGTTTCCCTGTGTGTATTCTCAACAACAACAAGATAAATAAGTTTTTTTAAATGACACCCTATCATTGGGGCCTTTCCTGTCAACCACATACAACATAGCAGCATCCACAGGCCACTCCATGTTCCTCTACCTTGATTTATTTTCATCCACAGCACTCATTACCTGATTATGGATGGATGGGATAGATACAGAGGTATATAATGCTTTTATTATCCATTTCTCCATGATGGCAGGGACTGATTTGCTCAATGCAGTATCCTCAGAATAGTGCCTGCCATGCAATACACGCTCAATAAGGATTTGATGAACATGAAGAAATATTGTATATCCACACTCTGGGACATTTTTAGGAAATTCCCCACTGCTGTGTGGCTTGATGCCAGGCACTGACTTCACAGGGGAGCAGACACCAGAAGCTTGACCACAGTAACTGCAGCAGACGCAGACACTCCACTATTGCCCTCTCCTTCACTTTTAGTGCATCTATTAAAGCAAGATTACTCAAGCTTCAGTTTTCAAGGATATCTGTGGTGAGAAGATGGTAGATGGAATCCAGGACCTACTCAAGGTGTGTGAAGGCTGCTGATATAAATCTTCGAAGAAAAAGGCTTCACTCTAGAATAATGACCTAGAAATAAACCCACCTCCTCTCAAGGGATTGTAAGGGAAATTGCCTACCTTAAATTAAGTGGAAAGGTTAAAATGATCCTCTGAAAATGTATAGCCATAGGCCTGACATCAGACCTCAAATTCCATATCCCAGCTATTATGGATTAACAAGATTATGGATATCAGGATTATGTTCACTTCCTGAAAACCCTTTGGATGCATCTCTCCATTTTCTTTTCCCTAGAACAGAAGCAACACAGCTAAACAGTACGAAGAAAAGCAGAACCACATGACGAAAGATTAAAAGCCATAAAAACAATGAAAATAAGATGCATAACCAGAAATATGCTGGGAAGCCTAAGATCAAAGAGATCTGTCATACCTACAAACAAAATTGGGCTAAACAGTAGGATTTACCAACTAAAAAACAGAATATTCTTAGATTGGACCACAGATGCTTAAGTAGCTCTCACGTGAAAATACATAGCCAAAACACTTCTACAAATAAACCTAAAGGGTGAGATTAATTGAATTATACACTCAACTCAATAAGTTAGAAAAAGAAAAGCAGATGGAGGGACTTTAATGAAAATTAAAGCACAAGTGAATGAATTAGAAAATGGTATAAATGCAAGAAATGGTCTCCAGGTGGGTAAAATCAAAATCAAACCTGTTGCCACAGAGTTGATTCCAACTCATAGTGACCCTATAGGGCTCTACAGAGTAGAACTGCCCCATAGGGTTTCCAAGGAGAGTCTGGTGGATTTGAACTGCTGACGTTTTGGTTAGCAGCCGAGCTCTTAACCAGTGTGCCACCAGGGCTCCTTCATGTGGGTGGAGTAATTAAAATAAATAAAACATTAGCATTAGTTTACCTAAGTGAGGAACAAGAAATCACAAATACACCCTATAAGAAATGATACTGGAGAAATAAACACGCATATAGAGGAAATTAAATTAATCATAAGAGACTATTTTACTCAAAATTATACAAATATATTTAAAAACATTGAAGAAATAGATGATTTTTAAAGAAAATAACAAGGAATGCATATATCTATATATTGGTAGACATACCAATATATCAATATGAATACATATATAATCTAAAAAGACAAAATATGGTGGAAAAAATAGAGAAAGATGACACGGAGATACCTTTTGAAAAAATGCACCATGCCCAAATAAATTCACAGCATTCTACAAAACCTTTAAGGATCAGATGACAGTAAAGCAGTGAAAATTGTTTCAGACACATTTATTCTGTGAAGGATACTTTAAGGGTGAGCACATCCATTCCATATTAACAGTGCTATAAACACTCCAGGAGCTTGAACAGATCATTCTGCAGAGGGGCTATCAGACATACTGAGGAATATATGAGTCTATTCTACAGTTGAGAAGGTCCTACATTTTTCCATACTCAACATATCCATAGAAATTCTGCTCAGTGTGAGTTTTCACATGCACTATAAGGTCTGACTTCTAGGTAAAGGCCTTCCCACAATCAGTACATATATAAGGTCTCTCTCCTAAATGAATTCTGATGTCCAGTGAGGTGTACATGCTGACAGAAGGCCTTCTCACAGTCACTGCATTTGGAGGGTTTCTCCCCAGTGTGTGTTCTCTGATACGTAATCATCTGTGATTTTTGGGAAAAGGACATCCCATATTCAGCACATTCAGAGGGTTTCTCCCCACTACAGGTTTTCTGATGTGTAACAGGTGGAAACTTCTCACAGAAGGCCTTCCCACATTCACTACATTCATATGATTTCTCTCCTGTATGAGCTCTCTGATTCTGATGTATAATGAGGTGTGACTTCAGGGAAAAGGTCCTCCCACACTTATGGGGTTTCTCCCCTGTATGAGTTCTCTGATGAATAATGAGAGGTGATGTCTGGAAGAAGGTTTTGCCACATTCACTACACTCACAGGGTTTCTCCCCAGTATGAATTCTCTGGTGTATAATAAGAGGTGATTTCTGGGAAAAGGCTTTTCTACATTCGGTACATATATAAGGTTTCTCGCCAGTATGAAGTCTTTGATGTCCAGTAAGGTGTGGCTTCTGAGAAAAGGCCTTCCCACAGTCAGTACATACATACGGTTTCTCTCCTGTATGAATTCTTTGATGTCCTATGATGTTGGACTTTTGGCAGGTTTTCCCACATCCACTACACTTGCAAGGTTTCTCTCCAGTATGTGTTCTCTGATGTATGTTGAGCTGTGTCTTCCGAGGGAAAGTCTTCCCACATTCAGTACATTCATAGGGTTTCTCCCCAGTATGTGTTATCTGGTGTATGAAAAGGTGAGACTTCTCACAGAAGGCTTTCCCACATTCACTGCATTCAAAGGGTTTCTCTCTGGTATGAACTCGCTGATGTATAATGAGATGTGACTTCTGGGAGAAGGCTTTTTGACACTCAAAACGTTCATAAGGTTTTTCCCCAGTATGAACTCTCTGATGTACAATAAAGGGTGACTTCTGGGAGAAGGCTGTCCCACACTCAGTACCCTCATAAGGTTTCTCCCCAGTATGAATCCTCTGATGCACAATGAGGTGTGATTTCTCGATAAAACCTTTTCCACAATCTCCACATACATACAGTTTCTCTCCAGTATGAATTCTTTGTTGTGTGATGAGCTGTAACTTCTTGATAAAGCCCTTCCCACACACAATACAAACAGTGGATTTCTCCCCAGCTTGAACTTTCTTAGACTGAATATGGGCTTGCTTATGGTTGAGAACTTTTCCACATTGACTATCTTCACGGGGTTTTGTTCCAGTATGAATATTCTCAAGCACAGAACAAGAAGCACTATAGCTAGGTTGTCTCCCACATCGCACTCTTTTAATGGGGTTCTTTCGTGCATAGTTCCTATTAAAACTTAGTGAGTCTAAATTAGACTTCAAAGTCTTTTCACATGAATCAAAATTATGGAGGTTTTTACTTGAATGATCAAGGTCTGTGCATCTATCAAATATTTTTCCAAATACATTATATTTAGGGCTTGTATCCTCAGTTAATGTTTCATTGCTGGTGACTGTGACCTGCCTCAAAACTCTGTCTTGTTTTCCTTGATATCTATCTATTTCATTATCAATATGCCTGACTTTTAAAATGGAATACAATGAATTATCCTTTGGGGCTCTTCCCAATATCTCCCTTTGAAATGAAAGTTCACTAGAAATGATCTGCTGGAAAGATTCAATGCTTTTCTCTCTGTCTGAAAGAAGAAGAAAAAGGTAAAATCAAATCGACACCAAAAAAAAGCAGTTATCAATGGACAGAAGTGCTAGGAAGGTGGATGGTGTAGGGTGGATGTTGTTAAAAAAAAAAAAAGCAGAATAAATTCTAAGGCAGGATAGAGGCCATTGATGTCAAAGAAGATTCCCCCTTGACCATCTACCCAATTCTCACTTACCTGGGTAAAGCCACATTGACAACTGTCTCTCTATGATCCAAGGGTTTGCCCCATGTTCCAACTTGAAGATTACATATGGTTTCATACCTGAACGTCCTGTTAAGGGAAAATTATAATGGTCTTGGTCTTGGCAGCTCAGAAATTCATGAGGAAAAGGAGAAGTTTCAGAGATCTCCCAGCAAAGATAGATCCCTAATTCACACCATACACATACATGCAAAATTGCAAATGTAACAAAAATATAAGCATAAAAAACTGAAACTTTAAAACAGCCTGTAAAGGAAAATCATAAAGTTCTTGGTCTCAACGACTCTAAAGGATGAGGATTAAGTTCATTAAGTTACACAAGGAATCTACCCTTACCCACAGAGACCAGGTGTCATGGTTTGAATTATGTCCCCCCAAAAATGTGTGTATCAATTTGGCTAGGCCATGATTCCTGGTACTGTGATTTTCCTGTGTGTTGTAAACCTGCCTCTATGATGTTAATGAGGGAGGATGGGTGGCAGTTGTGTTAGTAAGGCAGGACCTGATCTGCAAGACTGGATTGTGTCCTGAGGCAATCTCTTGAGATATAAAAGACAGAAGTGAGCAGTGAGACAGGGGGACCTCATACCATCAAGAAAGCAGTGCCAGGAGCAGAGCGCATCCTTTGGACCTGGGTCCCTGCGCTGGGAAGCTCCTAGTCCGAGGGAACACTGAAAAGAAGAAGGCTGGCAGAGAGGAAAAAGCCTTCCCCTGGAGCTGATGCCCTGAATTTGGACTTTTAGCCTACTTTGACTGTGAGGAAATAAACTTCTCTTCGTTGAAACCATCCACTTGTGGTGTTTCTGTTATAGCGGCACTAGATGGCTAAGACACCAGGTGACTACTGGTCTCCAGAATCACATCCCTGTGCAGGGTCTTCTGAGCAGGATCCAGCTGCTGCCACTCTTCCTGGGTGAAGTCCACAGCCACATCCGCAAATGTCACTGGTTCCTATAAGAGCACATTCTTGTAAAATCTGCTCATTCTAATCATTTTTACCACAGTGATATATGGCGGATGCTTACTTTGGACATAGTTGTATGGCATACTTTATAAGACAAACAATGTGAAATCTTACCATTAGCAAGAATAGTTAGTAGAACAGAATACATAGTCTAGAAATAGACACAAATACAAACGGAAAGTTTAATATACAATAAAGGTGACATTTTAAAGAAGTGTGGAAAAGAAGAATTATTCAAAAGTGGGTAGCTATCAGAAGAAAAATGTAAAGTTGGATTCCCTATCTCACACTATAAAAAATAATAAATTCGAGATATAACAAAATTTTAAACAGAGAAAAAGAGAAACCATAAAATATAGTAGCACAGGATAGTTTTCTTTAATAATTTTGGAGTGGAGAAGCCTTTTATAAGCATGCTTCAAAAGAAAAAAAGATACTACAAAGGAAAACACTGATAAATTTGATTACCTTTAGGGTCACAAGGAGTCAGAATCCACTCGATGGCAATGGGCTTGTTTTTTTTGTTTGTTTGGTTGGTTGGTTTTATGTATTGCATAGATCCCTAGGAGGCACAAATGGTTTGTGCTTGATTATTAACCTAAAGTTGGTGGATGGAACCCACCCAGTGGCACCGTGGAAGAAAGCCTGCCAATCTGCTTCTGTAAGGATTATAGTCAAAAAATCTTAAGGAGCAGTTCTACTCTGAAACAGACTCAGTCACCATGAGTCAGAACTGATTCAACAACAACAGGTTTTGTTTGGTTTTATGTATTGCATGGCAAAATATATCATAAGCAAACTCAAAGACAAGCAACTAACTGGCCAAAAGATAGGCACAACACGTATGATGGGCAAATAGCTAACTTCCTTAATATAGATAGCTCATACAAATCAAGAAGAAAAAGACCAACATCTTAACTTTAAAAAAAAAAAAGATCAGTTGTGGAAAACAGTGTGGCAGTTCCTCAAAAAACTAGATAACACAAAAGACTTAAAAGCAGAGACTCAGAGACATGTTCACCAATGTTCATTGCAGCACTATTCACAATAGCCAAAAGGTGGAAACATCCTAAATGCCCATCAACAGATGAATGCATAAACAAACTGTGGTACATACATACAATGGAATAATGCTCATTCAGTAGGAAAAATGAAGTCTTGATACATGCTACAATATGGATGGAGCTTGAAGACATTATAATGAGTGAAATAAGCCAATCAAAAAAGGACAAATATTGTATGACCTCACTTACATAAAAAGACAAGAAAAGGTAAATGTTCAGAAGCCAAAGTTTATTAGTGGTTACCAGGGGAAGGAGAGATGGGTAAAAGAGGGGTCAACAGTGATGGAAATTTTGCATTAAGCGTAGAGTTGCACAGCCAATTATTATAAATGCTGTCAATAAGTTGTACACCTGTAAAAAGTTGAATTAACAAAAGTTGTGTGATAGATATATTTACAACAATGACCAAAAAAAAGAGTATCTGCTGAAGCTACTTATGTACAACCAAACACCTCATGGGATTGGTTGCTTGGTTTGGAGGTTTAGGGTCATGGTTTCATGGGACATCCCAGTTAATTCGACTAATAACATGTTTAGTGCTTCTGTTCTGCCTCCTAGTTTGTTACATAGTGTCTGGGGTCCTAAAAGCTTGCAAGTGGCCATCCAAGGCACAATAATTGGTCTCTATTCACCTGGAGCAACAGAGAAAGAAGGAGAGTCAGGAGTAGGAGGAGGATATGGAATGTGTGGCTAATTGTCTCCAGGGACAACTGCCTCCTTTGCCATGAGACCAGAGCTGGAAGGAGCCCTGCTACCATTACTGAACACTTTGATCAAAGATTGTATAGAAGAATCCTCATAAAAAGGGGGAAAATGCAGAACAGAATTTCAAATTCTCATGGACTCTAGGCTTTCTGGGGCCATGGGGGGGGGGAGTGGATGAACCCCGGAAACTATTGCCCTGAGATAATCTTTAAACCTTAATCCAAAAATATCCCCTGAAGTCTTCTTAAAACCAAACAATAGTTTAGCTTAGCTAGTAAAAAAAGATCTGCCTTGAACATTATGCTCTTTTAAGAGCTATCTATATGGGATCAAATTGACAACAGCAACTAGAAAGATTAGATAAGAACCTTAGGGGGCAGTGCGTTTATGTTAATGAGGTTGGGAATGGTTGCACAACTCAAAGAATGTAATCAATGTCACTAAATTGTACATGTAGAAACTATTGAATTGGTGTATGTTTTGCTGTGTATATTCTCAAAAACAACAAAATAAAATTTAGAAAAAAAAAGGTCAAAGGACATGATCATCAATTTACAGAAAAGGAAATGAAAATGGCCTTTAAACATGTAAAAAGATGCTCAGCTTCACTCACCTGAAGATAAATGCAAATTAAAACAAGATACCATTTTTTCTTTTAAATATTATCGCAGATCGGAATTTGATGTTAAGTCACTGTAAGCTGATGAAGATGTCAAGAAATGGGCTAGCTCAAATTTTTGGAGGTGTATATAGCAATAATATATTTTGTGGGTAATTAACTTGGTTATACCCATCAAAATTTAAATTTTGCATATCCTATGGCTAGTAATTTCATTTCTAAAATTTATCCTACTTAAATATTCACATTATGTGAACAAAAAAAGCATATGTGAAGATCCTTCACTACAGTATTGTTTGTAATAGTAAAAAAATAAAATAATCTCAAAGGAGATTGCTTGAATACATTATGCTACAATCTCCAAAAGGAAATATTATATGTGTCATGGATTGAATTACGTCCCCCAAAAATGTGTGGGTCATGATTCCTAGTATTGTATGATTGTGTACCATTTTGTAATCTGATGTGATTTCCTTATGTGTTGTAAACTCTATCACTATGATGAGGTTATATGATATTTCCTTACGTGTTGTAAACTCTATCACTATGATGATGTTATACTGATGAGGTCTACAGGATTTGATAGTGTCTTGAGCCAATCTCTTTTGAGATATGGAGGAGAAAGGCGAGCAGAGACACATGGGAACCTCATACCACCAAGAAAGCAGGGCCGGGAGCAGAGCGCGTCTTTTGGACCTGAGGTTCCTGCACAGAGAAGCTCCCAGACCGAGGGAAGATTGATGACATGGACCTTCCTCTCCAGAGCCAATGGAGAAAGCATTGCCCTGGAGCCGAAGCCCTGAAGTTGGACTTGTAGCCTACTGGACTGTGAAAGAATAAACTCTTTGTTAAAGTCATCCACTTGTGGTATCTCTCTTATAGTAGCACTAGATGACTAAGATAATATGCAATCATAAAAAACAACGAGGAAGTTGTACATGTACTGAAATGCAATAGTCTTCAAGATATACTATTAAGTAAAATAAAACAAAAAACATTCATCCATTCAACAAGCATTTATTGAGCACCTGCTAAATCCAAAGCACCCTTCTGGGGACTAGGGACACAGTAAGAAAGAAACCTGGCAAAAATACCTTCCCTTGTGTGGGCACACATACAACAAGGTTGAGAGACAAATCACCACCTGGACAAAAATTTAAAAAAAGTTCACAATGTACGTTTCACAATTAATATCACAAATATACAAAAAGCCCCTAGAAAGCAATAAACAAAAGACAAAAAAATTAAAGGGAAATTTACAGAAAAATACAAAATGGCAAATAAATATGTGAAAAGATGCTGACACTCATTTAATCATTAAAGAAATGCAAATAAATATAACGTTCAACCATGAAAACAGCAAGAATTAAAAACACAGATTATATTTGTTAATAGGGAAAATATTGAGAAATAAGTCTTGTAAACGATTTAGGGCCACACGTGTAAGCTGATTACATGATATCAAAATGTAATTTGAAAACCACCCTTCAAATTTTAAACATGTGTGTTCTTTAACCTAGCACACTCATGTCTAAGAATTTGGCCTACACAAATACTTGACAAATATACAAAGATGTATACAAGGTTGTTCCTTTATTTGTGAATTCATTGCATAAGAGTCCTGGCTAGACTATGTACTAGCTGTGTGAACTCTGTGCCTCAGACTCTTCATCTAAAAAATGGGGACATCTCCTTGAAATCAGGAGAAGACAAGGATGCCTACTCTCACCACTTCTAGTCAATATTGTATTAGAATTCCTAGCCAGAGCAATAAGACAAGAAAAATAAAAGGGATCTACACTGGAAAAAAAAAAAAGCAAAATTATTTGCGGATGACATGATCCTATATATAGAAAATTCCAAATAGCCTGCAAGAAAATTTCCAGAGCTAATAGAGGAATTTAACAAAGTTGCAGGGTACAAGGTCAACAAACAAGAATCAGTTCAGTTTCTATACACCAACAATGAGAACTCTGAAAGGAAAATTAGAGAAACAACTCAATTTACAGTAGCATCTAAGAATACAGAGAAAAAAATCAACAAGGGACATGAAGGACTTATACAATGAAAATTATAAAACACTGGTGAAAGAGATTAAAAGAGACTTAAATAAATGGAAAGATGTGCCGGGTTCATGGATTGGAAGACTTAATATTGCTAAGATGTCAATACTAGCCAAAGCTATCTATAGATTCAACACAATCCAGATCAAAATCCCAATGGCCTTCTTTACAGAAACGGAAAAACTAATCTTCAACTTTATATGGAATGGAAAGAGCACCAAATAGCTAAAGCAATGTTGAAAGAGAAGAACAAAGTAGGAGGACTCACACTTCCTGATTTTAAAACATATTATACAGCTACAGTAATCAAAATAGCCTGGTACTTGTATAATAATAGACACTTAGACCAATGGAATAGAACTGAGAGCCCAGAAATAAACCTACGCATCTATGGTCAACTGATTTTTGACAAGAGTGCTAAGTCTATTCAATGAAGAAAGAAGAGTCTCTTCAATAAATGGTGCTGGGAAAATTGGATTTCCAGATGCAGAAATATGAAACAGGATTCATACCTCATACCATACACAAAAACAAATTCAAAATGGATTAAGGACCTAAATGTGCAAACTAAAACCATAAAATTCTTAGAAGAAAATGCAGGGGCAACACTGTCAGGCCT